GTAATTCAAAGGAAGAAACTTATTAACAGGCTGGGTGTGAAGAGGCACTGTTAGATTTTGATGTTGAGATGCCTGAGAGAATGAATGACAATGTCATCTGTAGTAGGGGGAGACTGGAAAGGATAACACTGAATTGCTGATCTTTCATGTCTATATTGACTCATAATTTGGGATTCTTGGCTGTTTCTCATTTACTTTTAACCATCCTCCAAAGGGCAAAAAAGTAGGTCTGGTGGAGATGGCTGTGTGGATTTTGTTTTACACAATTATAAAGCTAAGTCAAGCACTATCAATCAAGCATATTTGTAGCTGTGTTAAATTTGCTATAAAGTTTGAACTTTATGGATTTTCTTTTTCAGGCTTTAGGGCAATCTTGGCTGAACCTAAAAATAAAGCATCTGAATCCTCAGAACAAGATTATTACAGTAATATGAGGCAGGAGACTTTGGGACATGAACCTAGAATAAATATGTTTCCATTTGGTAAGTGGGGCTATCTTTACTTTGATGGTATAAGGTATATATGCAATCTGATTTGAGGGTTTTTCTTAATACTCTTATCAGCAGTCTGTAAATCTCACAGAGTGAATAAAAGAATTTATAGGGTTTTTAAGAAGCTGATTATGATGCCTCATTTCCTTAACATTTAACACTTATTTTGTTTAACTTATTTCCAATTACAGGTTTTATGGTTAGTAATGCATTATCTAAATATTACACTATGTCACTGCCATTTGTGGGGAGGTGAGCTTCTGCCTCTGTGCAGCTGATCAAGAAATATGAAAGACAAATACAGATAAACCCTCAGTATGAGTCCTAAAATTCTATCCCGAAACTACTGCTGCTTTAAAATTAGGAGTAGAGAAAGGAAAGGAATGACAAAAGTGGGAGTTAAAAAAGAGGGGGAAATGGATGTTGAAAGTAAGACCTGTAAATGTTATTTGCCAAAGCTTCCTTTTAGGTGAACACTTGCCATATTTTGCAGTTTTGCATAGTAAATGCATTCCTGTGAAATTAGACTACACATTTCTGCCTGTATTTCTGTGTTGAGGCAGGGGAGTGGGGGAGAGTTGTTTGTTTTCTCGTCATTGTCTTTTCTGATAGTGCTGATGACCAAGAGCGTACTACAGAATGCAGGGCCTTTGTTCATACAAGGGACTGAATGACAGTTCCTTTTATTTTAGTACCTAAAGTGTTAAATGAGTCTTTGAATATATAGAAATTTAAAGATTGCTTTTTTTTCCAATATTGTTGGAGAACAACAATCTGAATTTTCAAGTTTTGACAAGAATGACAGCAGAGGCCAGGAAGCCATCTCCAAACGCCTGTCAGTTGTATCAAGAGTTCCTTTCACCGAAGAACAGCTTTTCAGCATTTTTGATATAGTACCAGGATTGGAATACTGTGAAGTTCAACGAGACCCTTATTCTAATTATGGTAAAATACCATCTATATTATTGTTAAATATACTGTGTTTTGTTCAAATAGCTTTTCTCCATGGCACTTTTTATGTCAGATGCTGTTTGTGTGACAGTTTTATGTTTCCTTTTCCTCTACTTTAAACTTTCAAATACAGCGGTACCTTAATAAAGAAGTCCCTGGGAATATATCTCCTTTATACTGAGTCATTTTTTTTCTTTCTTTTTGCTTTGTTTTGTTCATTTGTTTTTGTTTTTAATGGAGGTACTGGAAATTGAACCCAGGTTCAGTCTCCAGGACCTCGTGCATGCTAAGGATGTGCTCTGCCACTGAGCTGTCCCCCCAGTCTCATTTATTTTTTAAATATTTTAATTCCCACAAAATGGAGCATTCTCTGTTTCCAGTTGTACCACAGAAGTTACCTAGGATAAGGTCTCTCTCTGTGCTCTTGATTATTGCTAGGCAAAGCTACAAAACCATTTAAGTTTCCTTCTCATCCCTAAGTCTTTTTTCTTAAACTTTATTGCTCAGAATGGAACTCCTTCCCTTCATGTCATAATTGCTCTACTTCTTTCTCTGTCTGCTTCTCCCCACTCTTAATAGAAGCAAGGCTCTAATATCAGCCATTTGAACTTGTTAACTCATTAATTGATTAAATCTCTTATCTGGTGTTAGCTTAATCCATCTTTGTATTCTTGTAAGCCTTTTGATTTTTTTTAAGGAAATAGAGTCCTTGTGGCATAGGGGAAAAATTCGGCATTCCACTTCGCAGCCGACTCAGCTGCAAATCCCCACAGTAACACGTAGCTCTAAGACTGTGGCAAATTGCTTATTCTGTTTGAGCCGTTCTTTCCTCATCTGTGAGATGGGATTACTAGTACCTTTCATGCCAAGGTTAGGCAAAAATTAGAAATACTATATGTAAAATGTCTAATGTAAGTCCTGGCACAGAATGGGCACTCAGTAAATAAGGGTTTGTTGGTTTGGTTTAAGGAATTGGAGGTACAGAGAAATCATACTTGGTATCTCTTCCAGTACTATAAATATACTTGATTTAGTCTTTTTAGAGTGTCTTTATGGATGTTGAGGGGAAGTAGATAAGTGAGTCAGATTATCTGGGCTGACGAGCCTAGAGAGCTCCGTCCTTCGTGCAGACACCCCCACGAACTCAGTATTACCCTACCCAGTACTGGTCTTTTAGCAGGACTACCCATTTGACCTACTTTGTACCATCTCCAAATTTAACCCAGTTTTATGCTATTATTCTTTGTTCTGACTCGAAGGCACGATTTTGTGTTTTCTGGCACATTTACTGTTATATGTAATTCTGTTCTCTGTTTTCTCTCCCTTTTATCTGGTACTTTGAAATGTATTTGTTCCTTTACCTTCTCTATTGTCTCTCTAGTTGACTGTATCTGATATATATGTGTATCACTGAAACACCTTTTTACTAATAGAAGTAGCATACAATTAGAATCCTATTTGAGTTAGTTTTATATGTCTATTTGCTTCTGAGTTTTATTTTCATTTCATTAAAATGTGGAGATGCTTGAGTTTAGAGAGGAACATTAAATTATAACATTGCTTTTCCCAAAGTGAGTTATATTATAAATATATCATGAAAACCTTTTGGTTGTGTTACAAGCTCTTAGGCTTGCCATATAAGGGCTCCAGTGTAATTAATCCTCGCCTTTAGCATCACCTTCCTGAATTGAAATTTGTTCCCTTAGCTAAAGGAGTGTGAAATATGTGACTTGTATTTCATGCATATATCCCTTTCCTCTCTCTACCACTGCTGCTAGGTCAAGATGCCTATGTATTCTTTTCATATGTCACTTCTCATTCCATTTCCTACTCAGCATGATAGGGAAAAATTTTAATTTCTTAGATGTATCTCTGTCATACAAGAAACACCAGTAACTTTAAATTCATTTGACAGAACTTAAGATAGTGATCCCATTTTTTTTTAAATATCATGTTCATTTTTTTACCAAAATCTGTTTACACTTTGCTTTGTAGGAACACAGCTGTTGAGGACATGCAAAAGAGAGCTTGGTTTTCTGACACATTTGATTATATATTTACTAGTTGCGTGATACTAGTGTTTTTCTATATTGTTTCATTTTTGTGGTAACACAGGCTTTAGGATCCAATCTGCTTTCTTTTTAATTCCTGTATATTCTCTACTGTGTTTTAGGTCATGGAGTGGTTCAGTATTTTAATGTAGCATCAGCTATTTATGCAAAATACAAGTTGCATGGATTTCAGTACCCTCCTGGGAATCGGATAGGTGTTTCCTTCATTGATGATGGGAGTAATGCAACAGAGTAAGTACCATTCCAGGAGCTGGTCTAAAGCCAAATTTTGGGTGTACATGGTATGACTTGGAGAATAAAAATAGAAAGCAACTGCCCTCTCAGGTGAGGAAGTCACATAAAACAAGACTGTTTTACTGTTAGGAGACTGAATATTTCTGGTTTTCTGTAAATTACCAGTTCTTATCTCTAGTCTCCTTAGAAAAATGGCAACGCAGATGGTAGCTGCACAGCTTGCATCAATGGTGTGGAATAACCCAAGTCAGCAGCAATTTTTGGTAAGTAGGTAAAAATTTAACCTTCACACTGCATCATTAGGGTATGAAATAAATGTGACCTTTGCTTATTACTGGTGTAAGAAAATTTTCAGAACTATAGTCCACGGATGATACACATCTCTTTAGCTCTTGACTTAAAATCCCTAAAGTACAGTTTTTCTTTTTCTTACTTTGTCCCTAACTCTTCAACAGCAATTTGGAGGAAGTTCTGGATCACAGCTGCCTCAAATCCAGACAGATGTGGTACTTCCATCATGCAAGAAAAAAGCCCCTCCTGACACTCCTGTGAAAGAAAGACTTTTTATCGTGTTTAATCCTCATCCTTTACCTTTAGATGTACTAGAGGATATATTCTGGTAAGATTTCAATTCCACAGAGTTACACTTTAAAATAATATAATTTATTTAAACCAGTCATATAAGCACTCTCACAGTCTTAAAACTTCCTGTGTCTCATGCAGAGATGATTTGTTCCATGGTTTAAAAAAGCCCTTATTTATATCACCTTTTAAAATACATGATAATTTCCTTCTCTTTTTTATTATTTACACATCCTAAGTCTCCACACAGAATTTCCTTTTATTTTGTTTTGCAGACTTAAAACATATAGTTTTGTTTTGAAAAGTTGCTTGCATATAATGAACAGATCATTTGTTTCTTAATAGAAGATACATCTGTATACACCTGTCCTCTAGAATTCTTTTCACATATCTTTTCCTTTGTAGTTGTAATTCAACTGAACAGTGTTAACTAAGCATCTTCTATTTTGTCAGCACTCTGTTGGACCCTAAAGAATTAAATAATTCATTGAGTAAACAATTACTTGATCGTAGGAAAGATCATACAAGAAGTGTAAAAAGGCAGAGGACTTTTTGTTTTTAATATTACTTCTTTAACATTAACTTTTCCTTTTTGGTCTTTTTCCTGTTTGCTTTACAGCAATGTTAGTGAATTAAAAAGATATAAAGCTTACTAAAGAACATCACAAAATATCAGGGATGTGGTTCAAGTATTTTGACTTCTATTTAACTGATTTATTTAATTTTACTTCTTGAATCTCCCCTCTATGCCAGACAGTCACTGCTAAGTACCAGAGACAGTGTGTAAATAAAACATATTGTGTGAATAAGACATAATTGTTCTTGTCCTTTTAGAACTAATCACACATAGGAGACAGACAAGTAAATAGGAAATTTAGTGAGATTGGTGTGGAAAAGAATGTTCAGGCTTTGGAATAAATAGGGGCACCCACTTTAGAAACTCAGAGAAGACTTCTTGAAAGAAGCAAGGTCTAGTGGAGAGCTGAAGGATAAATTCATTTAGGCAGGGAAGAAAGCTGGGCGTATGAAGTAATTGCTGCCAGAGAGAATGTGAAAGGAAGTCATTAGTAGAGGAGATTTGAGAGACTCAGGAAGGATGAAGCCTTAAGATGACAAGGACCCAGTTAAGAAAGGCCCACAAGCTATGTCAGGGAGTGTTTCCTTACCCTGTAGGCATGAGGAACTGCTGAAGAGACTTTTGGGGAGGAAATGATCATATCTGTGTTTTAGAAATTTCCCCCAGAAGACAGGGTAGATTGGAAAGGGATAAGTCCAGTGGGCAGGGAAACTAGTGAAGAAGGTATTAGAGTAATCTAAGAAAAAGATAATGATGTTCTGAATGAAGAAGGAGACCTGAGTAAGAATGAAGAGAAATTGACTGATGGAGGAAGTGTTTAAGAAGGAAGATTGATTTGAATTAGAGATTGGATGTTGGGGAAGGAATAAAAAAGGAGTCCAGAATGGACATCAACTTTTAGACCTGAGCAGCTGTATTTATCAATTTCAGTTGATCTTTGTTTTACTTTGTTGCAGCCGTTTTGGTAACCTGATCGAAGTTTACCTTGTGTCAGGAAAAAATGTGGGGTATGCCAAGTATGCAGATAGAATAAGTGCTAATGATGCCATTACTACTTTACATGGAAAGATCCTAAATGGAGTCAGACTTAAAGTTATGCTGGCAGATTCCCCAAGAGAAGAATCTAACAAACGACAGAGAACTTACTGATTCTTGAGGTAAGCTCTTTTTAATCTGAATGAGAGAAATGTGTATAGAATTCCTTTCTAAGGATTTAGAAGTTGTTGGTTAAAAGCACTGTGGCTTAAAAGTTTGCTGATAAATCTACAGCTTAGGAGTTAATTTTACAGTTTTTTCTTTTTTTAATGAAGGTACTGGGGATTGAACCCAGGACCTCATGCATGCTAAGCATGTGCTCTACCGCTGAGCAATACCCCTACCCAGCTACAATATATTTTTTACACTTGAGCTTCTTAAACTTTAAAAAAAAAATGTTTTTGGAGTTTCCTGGGAGAATATCTCTTTCTATAGAATAAATTCAGATTTCAATTTAGAAAATTAAGTGATATTTTTGTATATGTGTGGATGTCTTAGATATTAAGAATTAAACTTTTTACTATATAGTTACATAAACTTTAAAATTGAAGTATTTCTAAAGATTTTTAACTTGAAGGAGTAATGTCTTGAGTTATGAATTGAGATAATTTTTGACAGTCTTTATAAGGAATGTTTTGACATACACTAATGAAATGCCTAAAAAGCAGTATCAAAAACAATTGAGCCTTGAACAATGCAAGTTTGACCTGTGCAGGTGCACTTGTACGTGGATCTTTTTCCAGTAAATACTACAGTACTATACCATCTGCTGTTGGCTGAGGTTGATTGAATCTATGGATGTAGAACAATGGAGGAGAACCCGTGTATATGGAGGGCCTATGATAAGTGATACACGGTGTGGGGGCTTGCCACCCTCCCAGCCCCTACGTTGTTTGAGGGCCAATTATAATACATCTTTTTAGACCTTTTAACCTAAATATTGCTGTTTTTATGCACTTTTATATTTGTGAGTTTGTCCATTAAAACTACATATTCAGAAAATATTCTATGTGCATATATATGTATTTTTAAAAATAACTTTGACAATTTACCAAAAACTTGTCTATTAAAAATAATGCTACATACTGCTATATGAATTCCTTTTACTTTTAGTTTTAAAAAATCAAACTTAAATTTCCCTTTCTAGAACAGTTTATATCTCCATGGTTTGGGGCAATGTTATTTAAAATTAGAAATGTTCACCTCTTTCACTTTTTTATTCTGGAAATGAATTCTGAGTTTCAGGGCAAGTTCAGAGCTTCCCTGTTCTCACACACCAGCTTCCCAAGTCCACTGCTGGTCGAATAGTAGCACTTGCCAAGCACTTTAGATTCAGTTTGAAGTTACTGGCTTGACAGCAATTTTCTTTTCCCCAAGTTTTCTTTCTGACCAATTATGAGATCTAGCAAGTATCAGAATGAACTGTCTAAAGCCTTACTGCTGATGACCCTTCCTCTGATAGAGCAGGTCAAGTGATTAGTTCTCCCTTCCAGAAGGTAGCTGCCAATAGGAAGTGCCCATTATGAATAATCCCAATTTAGAAATGTTTTCTATGTCTTATTTAATTACGGAATACACTCCCATTACTCCGTACAATGTAGAAATATTCAATTTGCCAGTAAAAAAAAAAGCAAGTCTTTTATATAACAAAGCAGTTTTTCGTGTTTACAAATAAAATGTTAAGAACTGAATTCCATATAGACAAGCTAGCTTCTAAAATAGCATGCAAAAATGTATTCATGCCTGTGAATATTTCAAAATATAAGTAATAATTACTTCTTACTCCCATTTAAAGAATCTTTGTCCTTAAAAAAAGATAATACTAACTTTTTATGCGAGAAAAATATATAAATTACTCTTGTGAATAAGCCTTTTTAAATGGTTATTTATAAAGAATGGAATATTAAAGTCAGAAGATCTGGGTTGAAATTCCAGCTCTGACACTTAACTATGATTGGGCAGATCTTGTCACCTTTTGAGGCCAATTTTTTTTTTTAATAAGGTTATTGAGAGAAAATGAGTCAGCAAAATTCCTTATAAAATAAAGCTGCTTTGCAAATGTGAACTAAAACTCATATTGCTGATTTCAGTGAAACCATTGAGATGTCATTTCATCCAAACAATCAGAAACTAAATTTAATGATATAAAACTACCTTGTGGCCAGCAGGTGTGTGAGAACAAAGGTTTATAATACCATGTTACCCCCCATAGAAGTGAAGTACGTTCTTCTAATTTTCTCCATTAGAGAAAGTGCATATTCTTCAGCATGACTGACTAGTCATGAAATAGAAATCTGTCCTTTTCTCTTTATTGAGCTGTTGTACATACCTAGGGCCAAGATAAAGTAGGGTTAGATTAGTTGAATATGGTAGGACAGGAAGAACTATATTAGTTTTGAGTGTCTTCTAGCAGCAGCATAGCTTTTTAAGTTTATTTTTGCTTTGATTCTGCATTTACCATGGACTTCATAATGAGAATCTCTTCCTTTATTGGCACATTAAATAAATATATTATTTTAAGGTTCAGTGAAGTATGTGAAAGATTCATAAATTTTACATGATTGTAGCCATTGAGGATTTTGGGGGTAGGTGAGGGGCACTTTTCTATTTGTTTCTTTAATTTCAAGAGAACACAAACACTGCTCATGAAGCCTAGTTCCTTTTGTCTCTGAGGAATAAGTCTAGGATTAACTGAGCTGTGCCAAAGAAGTAGGAGAAAAAGCGGGCCTAAGAATCTCACTTTGAAAGTAGTTGAGTTCTATTTTGAGATGGGTCTGATGTGCAAAAATGTATTTCTCCTTCTATTTGAGGAAAATAGAAATTTTAATATTTCAGAGCATCCTGATTTGTGTGTGTTTGTGTGTGTGTGTGTGTTTAATAGGTCCATATCCTTTTTCTTAAATCACATAAAACAGTACAAATCTCACTTTTTTCACTTCCTGTGTTTTGCATCTTGACATACTGTTTTGAGGAAAATCCCTTTGAATTTTATCCTTGTTCCTCAATTATGGTTGAACAATGATGGTTAATTGAGTTTAGCCACCCGAGAGAACAAAATATTTCAGCATTCATACATGCTGTAGTCGGACTCATGGTTAAGAAGACAAATACAAACACCCACCCATCAGCCTGGTGTGTAGGGGTAAAACTCAAAACTGTAATCCTCACAGGCATGATTTTTGTATTAATTCACTGCATTTTGCTTCCAGAAATTCAGTACCTGCTTACATCATCCTTATGAGTAAGTTTGGTTTTGCTTATTTGGGGGCATCTAGAATTAAGTAAGCAGATAACACTGGGTATATTGAAATAAAGAAACAATTCCTAAGATTTTAGGAATATTAAATACAATAGCTATTTCCTTTCAGATGATGATTTTCATACTTGTGTTGTGTTCTTTCTACAGAACAGAGACTAAATAATGACATAATCCTCAGCTGACTGACTGAAAATGTGACTGGACGCACTCCCTGTGGACAGTTGACAGCTTTTTTTTTTCATATACCTGATAGTCTCTGCACAGTATTGTTTTGTCTGGGGAGCAGGGATTGTTGACATGTATTTTTAAACCACACGTTAATGGTAAAACTAATATAGTAGTTGTTTCTTAGAGCAATATGTTGTCATGTGTGGCAGAAATAAAGTTTTCTTTGCTTAACTAAATCATGCCTTATTTATGTGAAAGATGAGAATGATAAAACTTAATAGACAGTGTTTAGAATTTGAATGACATATTTTATTGATTTTGAGATGCACATTTTTTCACTTTTGAAATTGGAAATATCTAGATATCAATTGTGTGCCATGGTGTAATTGACAACCTTTTTTTTCTTTTTTAGTGGAACATAAAATAAAGGTGCTTCTTTCAATCAGTTGCATCTTAGATTCAATAAAATATGATCATTGCTGAGTACTCAGTCTACACACGTAGATTGACTACTTACACTTACCTAAAGCAGGAGCCAAAAGACATATCATTAGAAATATTTTTATAATGTATTTTTATAGTTATACCAAAATTTGTTGGTAATTTTGTAAAGATCTTTTAAGATTATAGAGCAATGAAAATTTAAGTTATTCTCAGTAAGTTTAAATAAATATCAGTGTTTTTGGAGGGGTGGACATTTTCCCTCTACAAATACAAAACATAATGGCCACTCCAAAAATATGGCATGAAAGCAATTTTCAGAACAGGCTAAGAGGAAGAATAGTCATTTCAAAAAAGATTAAAAATTAGAAACCTACTCTGCTTGCATTCTGAAAATCCAAGAAAAAAATTTTTCTTGAGGTGAATGACATGTATATCTAAAGGTATATCTAAGCTGAGAGTTTGGCACCTTAAAAAAAAAAAGACATTATAAATGGTATGCAGCTGTTAAAACATCACTTAATTACCTCATTATGCCTTTCACATCTTGAGTTAAATTAAAAATAGGGAAAAGATTAAATTCAACTGAGCATGATAGCATATTTCATACTTGGACATCTCTCTGTTGAAAAATTAAACTCCTTTTTTTGAATCAGTAATTTTAGCAAGTTGAGATAAGAAAATTTCCTATCTTAGCTTCTCAGACAAGACTTACTGAACAAGAATTGAACCGAGTATCTTTCTGTGAGCCAAAGGGCATACTTTAAAAAGAAAGCAAATGGTGTCTTTAGAAATGAAAAACCTAAGTGAGGAGAGCTGAGAATTAATTACCAACAGATAGATTTATTCATCCCAAACTCATTTACTGCACACATAGTTCCATTTTCACAGGTTGGAATTAAATTGTGCCCTGTAGGTTATCTGGCTCTACCCCTCAAGTAATGCTTGAATACTCCCCAAAATATTCCTGCCAGGTGGTTAATCTAAATAATATAAAAGTTAGGAGCTACCTACCTCCTATCCAAGTTCATTGCGTCTTTGGTTAATCCTCATAATTGACATAAAATCTGATTTCCTTGTACTTTGACTTATTAGTCTTTAAGTTTTTCACTGGACCATACAGAAAAAGTTGACTCTCACATAGTAGCTCTCATATACCCTCCTGCCCTCCAAATTTTCTATGCAGATTAAATAATCCCACATTTTCTATTCTACATTTAAGGTCAGGTAGCCAGTTCCAGCAAACAGTCATGATTTCAGTTGGGTGCCTCATCTAGGTTTACTTCCTTCAGTCCTTCATATAAATTCTTTAAAAAAAAATGTATCATAGCTGTCTACCTGCAAAACACTTCTTTGCTTTTATACTTTTTTTGCTTTTCTTTTAGTGCAAACTTCTCTTGTGTTTCTCTCCCAATTGTGTGACTCAGTGAACACTTTGGCTTCAGTGTGTATTTAATCTTAATCCTCTCAATCATTTAGCCTTACTCCTACTTTTCCTGTCTTTTGCAGTTGATTCCTAAAACTTTATTTTTATTTCTTTGTTGATGGAGTTACTGCGGATTGAACCCAAGACGTATATGCCAAACATGCCTTCTACCACTGAGCTATACCCTCATCCCTAAAATTTGAAAAACAAAATGAAACATTTTTCTTAAAATGAGGAAAATCTAGAACCTAATAAATAGCATTTAGTAATCCAGCACTTAAGTCTTCACCCAAATGTTTACTACTCAAATGCACTTTTGGTGTAAGAACACAATATATAGATATTTCGATACTGTGTATACATCATTACTAAAATTGCCAACATAGTGGGGTTTTAATTTAAAAAAATGCTAATAAACAGTACAGTTAAACTTTTGTTTCAATTATGTGGTTCACATAACAAATAACATTTAAAATAAAGCATGATCAAACTTTCTTGTAAAATTATTGTCAGGTCTTAGACGATACATCACAGGTGCTGAAAGCAGCTATCAGATTTGCTGCTTCTAGAGCGTCATGTCCCAAACTGTTCCTTGAAATACTGTTGTTTTGAGAGAAGTCAATAAATATTCTTTAGGAAAGAAATTTTCATGGTCAGATATGTTTAGGAAATGTTCAGTTATTAATTCACAGATTTTTTTTGCCAGTGAAACTTCCGGGGCCTTTAATATGCTAATGTACGCCATCCCTGGATCTCTGAAGGAGAATCATAGTTTGCACTGTGAAATATAAGTGTGTTTTTAGAGGCATGCAACTAACAGGGCACAAGTATTACAAATAGATTTTAAGAAAATTTCTGAAATGTATACTGTGTTTTATTCATATGGTTTGGTGCGGTTTTATTTACAAGTTTACTTTTAAAATTTTTTTACCCTACCCCAGATCAAAAGTTAATGCAAAATACTAAAGAAATTATTACTCTAAAATTTTAGCTTTCTCTGAATTTTGTTCTCCACCTCCTTCAATATTAATGAACTAACAGAAAAAAGAAATGAGACACTTTACCACTAGGTGGTGATAAACATTGCCACTCAAAAACGGCAGCATTTCAATGTTACCTAACACACTGAGCCTGAAATGATAGAATTTGTATTGTCCAAAGCAGTGGCTCTTAAACACTGGTATCTACAAGAGTCACCTCAGGTATTTGTTTAAACGCAGGCACACAGATGCTGCAGGTTTGGGGTGGGTTTTTCACAAGCTCGCAAAGTGATTCTGATCCGGTAGTCACTGGCATTGACTTTGTAATGTACCGGCCTAAAGAGATTCCATATTTTGGACCTTAGGTTGGACTGTTGTAAAATACGACATTGAGAAGTTTCCAAGTGTTTTTACCTTGGATATTTTTTAGAATTAAGCACCTGCTTTCCCTCAATTTAAGATCAGTACATATGAATTACAATAAAAAACTGAAAAACAGAAGCAGTCTCACAAATAGCAAACTGTCAGGCCAGCTTTTTCACATTGCAGATATTTTTTGATATTTGTAAAGAATGGTAATCATTTGCTTTATACCACTTAAAGCTTCCACCTAATTTTTATATTTACATTTATTTTGAAGTGAATTATGTTCATAAATTATCAGATTTTGGCTCTGAAGAAGTACATGTGTCATTCTTTTTAAATGACAAAGGTACATGAAGGTGATTTTTATCAGTGTCTAAAAAACTGAAATAGAATAATCACAAGAGTATAGAAATACATGTATATTTATGTAAGTATTCTTGCCGTCTTAAAGTGAATCCTCTTACAAAGTGAATGCTTTTTTGGTATAACCCCAAAAAAAAATCTGTTGATTTGTAAGTGCAGTTTAACTGTCAGATTTCTTAAGGAATGCATAAAACTAAGAATCAGAAAGGGCAAAAACAAACGAAATATTTATATAGCCTTTTCACCCAGCGATACAGCCACATGCAAGTTTTATTTCTTCCATATGTGGATAAGAAGCTCTGTTAAAAATCTTGGCCATTATTTTCACATATGATTTCAGTGAAGAGAGAAAACATAAAGGTCATCCTTATTAAGTGAGAGTTCCATTTTAATATCTGAATTCTAATAAATGGATTGCATTATTTCCTTTTCTAGAAACTAACTCAAGAACCACGGATCCTGGGAACTGAAGGTACAGTACTGCTAGGGGATCAGACAGAAATAATTTAGTTAAAACATGAAATTGCAGTTCACTCATTACAATGACCATGCTTTAATTGTATTTAATTAGAAAAGACTTGTCCTCAGGAGAATAGGCAGGTCCCACTGCAGTTTGAGAATGTTACGAGGCCTGAAAATCCATTTGAGTGGTTATCATAGAAAGAGGGAGGCCCATGACTGTTGTATGTGAATTGCAGCCAATGTGTAGATGTCAGGGTCCATGTGAGCTGGCTAACATGCAAGCTGACCAAGACTACAACCACTGTGGTGCCCTAGAGACTGCCGTTCTGACCACAGCGCTGCAGAATTGGTGGAAGGAAGGCCTCAGGAGACTGTTCTAGGGAAATTGTTTGTATTTGAGATATAAAAATCAGGAATTATGTATCGCTTCTCGGCCTTTTGGCTAAGATCAAGTGTAAAAATCAGGAATTATGTGAAAAGGCAAGTGCTATGTTCCACAGAAATTGGGAAGAATATTGAGCACAGTAGGATAACCAGAGTGCTTACAGGTACTCCTGTGAATCTACACTCTGAATTTTCCTCCCTCTCCATTTCTGGTTTTGTAGGTAAATGGTGTTACTACTGATTTTCTTGTTCATATACTATCATTTTCCAATGTTAGTAATACATAGTTCACAGCATTCATTAGCCAGAGTTCTTAGGATTTTGTTCCTTCTGTTATTTTTATGGACTTTTTTTAATGGTAAAAGAAGAGATTTAAAGTCATCCAATTAAATGTTATCTAATTTACTGGAAGATCTGATGTACAAAAAGACATAATTTTCCTTTCATCACAGACAGAGTCTATCTCTTGTATTGGTTTAGGGCCCTTAAAGTTAGTTTTTGCAGTCCTTTTATTATTGATCCATTGGCACAAAAAAACTTTCTTCCTGTTATTCGTTAATACATTAGTAACTTAAGAAATATAAGTATCAGTGTGACATTTGGGAGAAGGTGGAGAAGGAAATCACAATTTGCTACTTGTAAGACTGACTTTAGGAAGAATACAGTAGTTGTTGAGAGCACTGAGGCTGGCTGACCTGCTTTGGCAATGTCAAAATCAGACCAGCAATGGCAAAGGAAAAGACTACATGTGGAGAGAGAGCACCTATCTTTGCTTTGTCATCATGAGCTCCTTCAGGTTCATCTCCCACTAGTACCATCTTGGCTTTATCCCTTCACCAGAAGCTCCTAACAGGGGCTCATTTCCTACTACTTTTACCCCAAATCTGGGAATCACAGACACTGAGTGTAGTCCCGTCTTTCACCCAGCCCAGTTTTATTCCCCTGCAATAACTCAAAATATTTCACACAAAAAAATGGAAATGGATCTCCTTACATCATCCTGCAAGATTACCAGTGTGCCTGGAATACCCAGATTCTATCTGTTTAATAGCTTCCAGTTACCTGTAATATAGGAATGTATCATATTATTGATATTATTAGTCTTCAGTTCACCCAGTAGCATATTTCATAAATGATATCAACATCATCTTTTTTAACCTGTTTTCTCATCCAAAAAATAAAAGCTAATAAAGACTATATAAATAACACAAACGCTTGCAACCTTCTCCCAATTTTCTGCAGAAAATACCCATGAAAACATTCAAGTAAGAAGAAAAATTGGAATCATTCATAGAAACTTAGATAAGAATAGTGGAAAGTAGAAAAAATTTTACTAAATGAAGCATAAGGCATAGATTATTTTTAAATCGCTGACTCATATTCCACATTGTTGTGTAAAGTAAGATGAGACCTTAGCTTCCTGTCGTCCAACAGTACTTACTAACCTGTGTATAGAAGGCTGTTCTAATAATGTGAAACAGCTGTGGAAGTCCCATCGGAAAAGGCTTTCGTTATGCATTTCTTAACTAGCAGCTCTGAATCTGCATTATCTTAGAACTTTTCCTTAACCAAGAAAACCGCAACTGGCATTCACCTGGTGATGGGGAGGGTCATAAAAGGGATCCCACCTCTGACCAGAAGAGCAAAGCTGAATGACAGAGTCAGCTTAAGTGACCCAGAAAGATCTTTTAGCTTCTGCCCATTGGCAGATTTCATATACTTACAGCAGGATTTTTTTAAGGTATTCTTTCCAGTCTCTAGGCTAAGAACTTTGATCTTGTTGCAAGGAAATCCCTGACCCTCTTCTGCCCTAATCCTACATCTGTTGCATGTCCTTGGGTTTCCTGGAAGAATGAAATGGAGCTAACATTTCTGACCACGTGCTGGATATTACATCATTACTTGAGTGGCCTAGTTAAATCCGTCCTCATTGAGAAATGAGTAAATGGGCAAGATGTTTGAACTGGCACTTCATAAAAGAAGACCAAGAAGGGATTTCAGTTTTTTGTTTTTGTTTTTCTGTTTTTTTAAGCAGATGAAGGGAACGTTGTGTAAATTCCTTGGCTTTTCTAAAGAAACAGTAAAACATTCTCTTTTTCACTTTGACAATTAATGCAAGTTGAATAATTTTTTAAATCTATTAAATGTTCAGTAATATTAGTCATCAAGGAAATGCATTTTGAAACTACAGTAAGATACACTGATAAGAACAGCAAAAATTAAGATACTGACGATAGCAGATGTTGGTGAGAGTGTGGAGCAACAGAATCACTCATAAACTGCTGGTGGGAGTATCAATTGGTTCACCCACTTTGGAAATATTTGATAAATGTCTGTTAACATTAAAACATATCTACCATCAACTCAGCAATTCCACTTCTAAACATATATCCAACAAAAATAAGAAAATGCGTGTACCAAAATAATATAACCATTATTGGTAATAGCCTCGAAGTAGAAACAACCATAGTGTCCATCAACAGAATGGATACAGTGAAATACCCTATAGCAAGGAAATGAGCTAACTCTTAACCACATGTAACAATTTCAATGAATCTTATAAATATAAGGTTGACAAACCAGCCAACAAAAGAAAATACTGTGATTCCCACTATGAAAGGGTTCAAAACCAAAACATGCCTTTAGGCAGGATTGAGTGAGGAGGTGTCAAAAGGGGGCAGAGGGGCTTAGGATGTACTGATAATCTTGTCTTTCTTGACCAGCATGGTGATAAGTTGGTGATAACTTTTTGAGTGGTAGTTTTTATGGTTTATGCATTTTTTGTGTCTTGTATTTCATTTAAAGTTTTAGTTTCTTAATGCATTAAGCAATATCAACATGAGGCTGATGAGACAGACAATTCTGCGGGTGAGAGAAGAGCAATATCCTAAGGCATTTAGAAGGAGGGGCTTGCTTTATTCTTCCAGTGTGTCTAAAGCAAGAAATATTAGAAAATACCTGCTTCCACTCCTGCTCTGGTGCAATTGGGCATTATGATGATGAGGACATGGGAAGAGTAAAAGTAGGAAAAGAAAGCAAGAAGCTAAATTATAAGTTCTGTCAAACAGTAAATAGTCACAGAATTAAAGAAAATTGCACCCATAAGTGAAGAACGATAAATATCAAACTGCTTCAGAACCCTGTGGGTCCTCATGAGCCAGCAAAAGGAAGATAAGATGGAGGGGTTTCCCCCAAGTTGTTCATCAACCAGATCAGAACTGTTTTCGTCAATGTATGTATGTATTGTGCTTAATAAGCTTTCTTTGGATTCTGCAACTTAAATAAGTTACAGTAAACCCAGAGCACCCTCAGATGAATATAGTGAGAGAAAAGGTGGAGATTTAAAAGGTTCATCACTGAGATTCATCCTTAGAATAAGAGATGTTCCCAAAGAAGACAAAACAAGTTAAACAATCAGTAGTTTTAATAGAAGAAACCTCGATTTTAAAAAAAGGGCTCGAGTCTGAAGATCCTCTTCTGCACATTAGATGCCAGCTGGAATGGAGCAGTGTCTGCAGAGTTGTGTAGTTCAGGATTCCTCTACTCATCCAGATGTGACGGTAACAGAAAAGGATTCTGTGATGTGGAACGTACTACTCGTTTACCCTTTGTAGAAAAAAAAATTACTTGAATATATCAGTACACTACCAGAATGAATCAAAATTCAGAATAAAAGAATGAGAAAAGAAAGGCCAGTCGGTGAGTATTGAAATCAGTGCTGCATTACTGTTAGAATAACACAGGATAATTATTGCAAATGTAACACTTAAAGCAAGAGATTTATTAAATTACCTCAAAATCTTTAAGTGGGGTTTACCCCAGATTAAGTTAATGAAGGCCAAGAAGGGATGGCAGTTTCTTTTGGGGGGATAAAGTCAACAGTAAAATTCTTATCTTTTGTAATGAAAAAATTAGAACTTTCTGTTTTTTAATTTGAAAATTAAATGTAACTTCAAGTATCTTGTGAAATCTGTCAAGGTGGTTAACAATAAAATTAATAACAGAATGTCTCCTGTCCAAATCTTTGAAAAAGGTAAAAAAAATTGTGTATGTGACAAAAGTCAAAAGGAAAAGCACTTAAGATCAAAACTGTTCAGATTGTTTTAATTCTAAAAACAAAATGAAAAAATTTTCTTCCTCCAAGAGACTTAGCTTTCACTCAAATTCTGTCATGCACACCTAACACATAAAGTACCTCAGATTACGATTTACGGGAGAAATAGAAGGCGGGATAACTGTATATTCACTATTAAATTACAGTCAGTAAGTGAAGACCACAAACTGTAATGTTTATATGCAGGATAATATAGGGTTAAAATGTAGAAACACAAAGGCCTTAAAAAGTGGTGTAGATATTGTCCTGAAGACCTTAGCACAATGATCTGTGAAGTATCGTTAACATGAATCAAATAGATGGGAGAAATGGCCCTTAAGAGTTGGGATGGGAGGAATAATGGAAAAGAGGATCTAACTTTTTCTCAAATGGAATAGTTTACAAATTGATCAGATAGTAACACTGAATAGCAAAGGCAGCACAGGGGGCCCAGAAAGATAACTTCTGCACATCACCTGATTTAGAATATTTACAGCAGGATTGAAAAACAAAACTACAGACAAATTGCAAAGAAATCTCTTACTCTTTTCTATCCTAAGCTAGATCCTTTGGGCTTCCTTGGATTTCCTGGAGGAATGAAATAGGCCAGCATTTGGTGCCCACCTGCTTGACACTACATCAGCAGCTGAGTGGAGTATAAAAGCTGAAAGCCATCCTTGGAACCTGATAATTCCCCTGAAGTGCGTTTCAAAGGACAGAAATTGTACAGGTCTTGTTCTTTGACCACAAGGTAATAAAACCAGAAAATAAAAAACACAATCATCTGGAAAATAACTTTTAAACCTTCTAAACAGCTATTTTGTCAAGAAAATGCTGTAAAATATAGTGAAACAAAACAGCAAAAAAAAAGTAGAGGATGATGTGTTTAAAGTAATACTGAAAGGCAAATTGATAGCCATTGCATAGAAAGGGAGAATGAATGAATTAAACATGCAGCACTTCGGGAACAAAAGGAACATAATAAAGATAAGATTAACGTTACCCTGACATCAAAACTTAAAGGCAATTTAATATTAAAGCTACAGATTCTTAGTTCACCCAGGAATATGAATGCAAACCTCAAATTTTAGAAGGTACAAATATGTCCGAAGAACAATTCACCATTGCCAAGTAGGGTTTATCCTTTGATGAAAAAGCAGTTCACATTAAGGAAAAATTTATTATAGTACATGTCTTAGTGGGGCCATATATGCGATCTATTTGACCAGTTGATCATTCTTATGATCATACAGATGCCACAGACTTTCAGATTATGTATGGTTTACTTGAGTCACTACCTGGAGTGGGTGGGATTTGCCCAATTTATTTGAAGGGATCACTACATGACTGCTATATAATGGGAAAGCACAGAATGGATACTGATGAAGCAATCAGAATGTCTAAAACTGCTTCTTAGAAAAAGCTTAATTTATTGAGCCCTTACTGTTAGCCAGGCTAATTGCTTTACACACATCTCAAAACCTATGAAGTAGATACTATTGTTCCTGTTTTAAAGAAAGGGAGCTGAAGTACATTCAAAGGGATGAAGTAACTTGCCCAAGATCACACAGCCAACAGATGGGGAAGCTGGGCCTCAAATAAAGGCAGAATTAATCAGAGCCCATACTTGAGCTCTACACTAAATATCAATGGCTGTAACAGTTCAGAAACCACCACACACACAAATTGAATATTACACAGCAACAACAAATCCTTCCAAAACTATGTTGTGAAGAAAGCAAGAGAGTTAAAGATTACAGATGGCAGGATGAAGAGGATGACTCAGTAGTTTGGGGGTCAGAGCGTTGGTTCCTTTTTCACCCCGGTTGTACAAGTTTATCTAACAAATACATTGAGCACTACTGAGTGCCAGGAAATGCAATGATGAGAAGAAGAAGAAAAATCTTCTTGCCCTGATGTAGTTTAGTCTAATTATGATGTAGTTTGAAGAAATGGTGTAGTGTGTTATGGGGTCAGCTGCCACTTGGGTAAGGCAGGCTGGTTCCTCCTAAACCTACCACTTTCAGAGGATTTGCCAGAATGAAAGAGTTCACCTTTTTCTGTCCCCCTTCACTTGTCCACACTTAAGTCTCTTTTTTTGTTTGTTTTACAAGGTCTTACTGTTTTGCTTTGGAGTTTTAAATTACAGTGTAGTGCACAAATCACAAATGTAAGATTCAATAAATTTTGACAAATGCATGCATTCTTGTAACCCACTGTTAGAGACTATTTCCGTGGGTTCCTTACAAGTCTCCATTTCTCGCGAACAGACACTGTCTCTTTTCAGGAATGTTTATATAGAGAACAGTCTTGGAAGACAGAGTCTCCTTCTGGAGCAAGAGGCTGGTTTGTTTACTGTCCAGTATAATAAAGATAATGTCTCCTTCCAGGGCAAAGGACAGGCAAACTTACTGCCTTTTATAAAAGATTTAGGTTCCCTAAGCTTAGGGTTCCTCAGTTCTGTCACAGACTTAACTATGTGCACAGCATCCATCTGGGCCTCTCGGTATCACCCCCTGTAAGGCTTAGGAGGCAAGAACCAATGCAAACATGAAGCTCAGGCTGCTTATTGTGCTGTGGATAATGAAGTCCTTTACAAATGTTCACATGTTTAGTGATGTTTTCTTGTTTACTGTGTCAGGCTAACTTGTTATCTTGCAAGCAGGGTAAAAATCTCAGGCCCTTCAGAGTTCTTGACAACCACACTCCTTCAAAATGCAGATCATTTCCCTTGGAGCAGCACATTCCCTCATGCCCCTTTCCAATCAGTCTCACAAGAGATGATCCTCTTTCTGATGGTTATCACAATATACAGTTTTGCCTTATCACATTCATGGAACATACCCACTTTTGTGCTTATCTGCTTCACTCAGCATAAAGTCTGTGAGATTCATCCATGCTTTGTGTATATCAGTGGTTCATTCCTTCTCATGGCCAGGTAACTTTCCATTATAAGACTAGACTTCAATTTATTTATCCATTCTCCTGTTGATGGATATTTGAGTTGCTTTCAATTTGGAGAATAAAGCTGCAATAAACATTCACATAGTTAATAACATTTTCATGTATACAGGACATTGAGAATAAGTCCTTGTAGAGACTCTGGATTCTACTATCTTCTTCTGAAGAATGTTTATTTTTGTTATAGCAGGCACTGTTTTTATGTGGACTCAAGTTTCCAGCTCTGTCTTTGCAGTGAGCAGCCGTTAAAAGTTTCTTTCATCGCTTCCAGCCTTCCAGCTGTTGTCTTCCACCAGACCTGTTATGGTCTCCCCAACCCAAACGTAGCCAAAGGAGTCAGCCAAAAATTTGGGTGAGGTTTGTCAGAGATTCTGAGACTCTATTTTGTGACTCTGTCCTTTCAGGGTATCCTCCCTTATTCAGAGTTACTTGGACTTCCTTAAACTCTGCCCATTGACCCTTGAAGCCAGTAAAACTGCGCTTTTCTGAGTATTAGCATTCCTGCACTCAGGAGGACCTGAGAGTGCCCGCAGGCAGAAAGCTTTATAAACGAATCTTACCTAATGTGATTTCCTCCTTTCAACATGTTTACTCCCCTCAGTTTCTACCTGCTTTTGATCATTTTCCAGTGCCTTCACATATAGTAATTCTTTCTGATTGTGTAGTCAAGAATGCCCATTAAATTTTTTATTTCAATGTGCAGTTTTTCTCATTTTTTTACTCTTTCTACCTGTTACTGAGTCATGCCTGATTTTGTTTCATAATGTTTTATTCTTTTTCAAACTGTATATATCGCTTCATCTCTTTGAGGATATGAAACTTTTTTT